AATTCGAGACTAGCGAATGACCGAAGTAGCGGCCTCATATCTGACCATGCATGTGAATGCTACAATTCGCTTTGTACGTTAAGTTCAACAATGGGGTCGTCTTGGTTAATAAGGTTACACGGTGTTCGTTTTTGTCTGTTAGTTGGCCTTGATGGTGGTCCCTTCTTAAGCAGCAATGGCAAACTTGTGGAAATAGCGACATTGCTGCCACTGCCTCTGCTGGAGTGAATACAGCAAAACACAACATCGTTTGCGTTCTTAGCTAGGTTCTTCTACCTTTCCTCCTTTAAATGTTCAAGATGCGCTTCAGGAATCTCACTACCTTTTATCTCGTGATCCCTCGAATCTTGTCTTGAGCAATGTTTTGGCATTTGTGGTTGGCCATATGTTTGATACATCAGGCTCAGTTGAGAAATGCATTTTCCATATTTACTGGTAGTTTGTTGTTTAACAAGAGCTAACAGAGGATCGTCGTAATTAAGCAGTAGACAGCAAAGCTGTCGTTGTTGATCATCCCTCAAGGCATTCTCATCTGCACTCAGGTTGTGACAAAGATTGTTGTAAATTTCCTGCTCCATTTCGCTAAAAATTCTTGCGAAGCATTGATGCTAACTATAATCCAACTGACTACTAATGCTTTCAAAAAAGGGATGCACTCCAGACAATTTTCTATTTCTTTGATAAAATATTTATCAGAGTAAAATGCATTTCAGTCGTTAAATACCACTTTACAGATAGTTTCCGTATTAGTATGACGTCATTTCCGTCGTTCAAGTTATTCGGAATCATTGGCGGCGTTGGCGGGTGCCTACTTGACTTGGTTGCTCTATGAAAAATTTCACATCAGTACAACATTTGCATTATTTTTTTCACCTGATCCAAAATCTAGTGGACTTTATAAAGTAGTCATTGAAAGAGACGCCAAATGCTGAAAGTGTATAGGTCAGTACCTAACTTGAACCATTGAAGGTAAGTTCTAATCATCGCGGCGGCCATAGAGTGAGACCGGTAGCAAAGGTTAAGTGTCTGTTTACCTTTTTACTTGACCTTTGAACCGACGGAAGTTTGAGCATAAAAGGGACCACATAGGGAATGGTAGCAAACGCAGACATGATGGTGCACCTGAAACATGGTTTTGCGTCATATGCGTTTGTGATAATAGTGTTGTCGTTGGCATTGACCGAAAGTCAGCCGATAGCGAATACGATGTGTAGTGAGACGCTGCAACCCACAACTACCAAGTTGCCGATGGATAGCGACGCCACTACGATGGTCACAGCCACCCCCTCCATCTCTGGCACCACCGACACCGCTACCACCAGTGACGCCGAAGTCAGCGCTGCGATCGTAGCCTACACCACCGATGTCTACCTAGATTTAGTTTCGACGGCGACACCACCGGTTGTGAAAAGGCCGATCTTCGAAAGACTACGAGAACCCTATCAACCCGAGGATTATAACTACGACTTTTTGCGAGAAATGTAATGAGTTGCATGAGTAAATTTTCACTCCTAGATGCTCTCGATCCTATCCTTTCCATAATTAATCCCTTATGTAATTAGCAAGAATGCGCATTGGCACGCCTATTTTAAAAGTGGTTCTTGTTTGACTCAGTAAACGCGAGATATCTAAATTCCAAAAAAATATTGCAAAACCGTTTGTGACTTTAATCGAGCCAAATTTGGGCACCTAGAAAATGATTCCGAATTCAGGTGAATTTTATTTCACGAATTCGTCAATATTAACCGGCACTGTAGGTTCACTAATAGCGAAGGGGCGAAAATCGAGCTGCTTAACCTCACAATGCTTTATTATATCCGATGGGATGATTTTGAGCGGCTTTGCTAGATATTCTGCATGGACAAATGGCAAAGAATTTTAAAAAAAGTTGGAGACTTCTTTTAGTGGTGTTCAAGATGGAAAACAACCTACGTACAGGCTTGATGACTCTACAGCTGTTAATTGTAAAGCAATCGTAACAGTATTTTACTGTTATCATCATTGTAGTTGCCATTGGTCCTAGTTTGTAGTAAAGTGCACTTAAAAGTAGCCACAC